TTTCACTGGGATTACTGAGCCACGCCCGATCCTTGCGCCCGGAGCGAAACACCCCGTCCTCACGTGCACGCTGAGTGGGGGGGCTGAGCCCCAGGCGGGCTTGGAGGGAGGCGGGGATGCAGGCAGTCTCAATTAAAAAACGCGATCGCATTGTTACTCCCGGTGTAAAGCCGCGGAAAAGGCAAACTCCACCCTTCAGAAAGGAATCGGAAGATAAACGCCCCTCGGATCTCTCCCGCCTGACCCGAGAAACTTGCAAAGCGGTGTCAAGTTCTGGAGACCGGGGTCGGGGTGAGGGGTGGGTGGGGATCTGGCCCGGCTGGAAAGGTGGGGCAAAGGCGACCACACTTGTCTCGGAGAGCCAGAGGGCTGGAGCAGCTGCCGAGTAAGGAAGCCTGAAACAGAGTAGGTCAAAAGGAACTGGACAGCACAGGAATACCAAAATGGGGTGGGCAGAATCAAAATGGTGCCCCTGAGGCTGGTCTTTGCATTAAAGTCCCCCACCAAAAATGTATTTCCCAGGGAACACTAATTTCCACTTCTTGAAGTCCCCTTTGAAAAAGGTGGCGTGGTATCTTTTGTTGTTGCTTAGTCATGAAGTCGTGTCCGACCCTTCGTGACCCCATGGACCAGAGCACGCCAGGCCCTCCTGTTTTCCACTGCCTCCTGGAGTTTGATCAAATCCATGTTGGTCGCTTCGATGACACTGTCCAACCATCTCGTCCTCTGCCGTCCCCTTCTCCTCTTGCCTTCACACTTTCCTAACATCAGGGTCTTTTCCAGGGAGTCTTCTCATGAGACCGCCAAAGTATTGGAGCCTCAGCTTCAGGATCTGTCCTTCCAGTGAGCACTCAGGGTTGAGTTCCTTCAGAATGGATAGGTTTGTTCTCCTTGCAGTCCAGGCGACTCTCAAGAGCCCCCTCCAGCACCACAGTTCAAAAGCATCCATTCTTCGGCGGTCAGCCTTCTTTATGGTCCAGCTCTCTCTTCCATACATTGCTACTGGAAAAACCATAGCTTTGACTGATGCCCACCTTTCAAAACTAGAAGGGGACACCCAACCGCTCCCATTTGCTCCCACCCCCACTTCAGTTTTGGACAGTGTGTGGTCCTGGAGAATTGTGGCAGCAGAAAATGACCCCAGCCCCACCGAAGGTCCCTTGTTCTCAAGGGTGGTGGTCATACAATATCTGTTTGTTTAGATGGCCGCAGGATCTTCTCTCCATCTCTAACTATGCCGAGGGTCGTGAGGAAATGAGTGATCCAGATAGCCATTTTTCATGTGGATGTGGCAGCCCTAAACCGTGCTGGCACACGGCACTCAAACCCATCCAGATGTATTCCTTAGCGTGTTCCTTTCTTTCCTGCACCTCTTTCCCCAATTTATTTAAGTTTGAATTATCAGATTTTAAAGTGCGTACTTTTTGTTTCTCCTGACATATCTTTAGCGTTCTGCCTCTTGAGTGTGCTGCAATTTCTTGCTCTTTGTTCATCTGTCTTAGTAGATCTTCCTTGGTCACCAAATTGATTCAGGAAATTCTTAACATTCTGTGCTCAATCCGCATTTCAGTCAGATCTGTCTTTTGTGTAGTAGCCTATACAGAAGACAGAGAAAAGATGGTAGCCTGTCTACTAATAAAGTTCACAGTTCCAAGGCATCCAGTAGAACTGAGAATACATCACACTGCACTGTACACAATGCTCTTTCTTAAGTTTTTCTTATGTGGTTTCTTATCACACTTTCTATCCTCCCTCCTCTGAACAGGAAATGCCAGCAAGAAGGAAAGGATTTCCAAGAAATGAGGAGGTATACATATTTCTTTCTGACTCTCAGACAATGGAGACCCCCCACCCCCAAGAGTTTCCTGTGCCAAGGGCCCCTCCCACTTCCCCATTCAGGGCTTTGAGCAGCACCTTTCTTCCTTCAGGAAAATCAGTGACCAGGAGGAAGCATCCTCTTATCATTTAGCCTTCCTTCTCCACTGCTGCTTTTGTCATAAAGGCTCATCCCCCCC